AAAAGGGTTAATATTTCCAGGACACTTCTGACTTGCTTCTAGGCTGACCCTGAGAATTTCCACCACAGATTAGTAACTCAAGAAACCTGGGTTCACCACTTTGAACTTGAATCAACGGTTTAAAGCAGACAATGGAAACACTAGTTCTCTACCCGGGTGAAGATCAGAAGAGAGGTCAGCTGCCAATCTCTGATCGTCAAGGGTTTTAGATGTTTGCTTGTATATCATATCATCAGCATAAATGCTTACAAATGATTGGAGTATATTCTTAGGTAGATTATTTATGTAGATCAGAAAGGGGATTGGTCCCAGAAGTGACCCCTAGGGGATGCCTGTGTTGACTGCCACTTGTTGTATTGTGTTGTGTTGTGTTGTTGTACAACACGTGATCACTAGTGAACGACTCAGATTTATTGTATTTTAAATACACACTTGTGGCACAAGGCCAAATCACTAGTCAACGACTTTCCCGTTCTAGATTACTATACACTTTATATCACTTCTACTTAATAATATGCAAATAGGTACAGTCCTATTTACGAATCCACTGCACTAATTAATAGTTTCTCTGTCACCAGATTTAATTTACATTCCCGTATTTCCAGAACTGCTTTAGTATAGTATTGCTATTAAAACTCCATTTTCCTCAGTTGCTTCGCTGACATTTTTGTTTAATAAAATGTATCTACATATTTCCGACAATCGCCTCATTTATGTGGCTATGGTTTTGGAAAAACAAAATAGGGTTGTAAGAGAGTTCATCTTTTGTTTAGTTTTATTTATAAAAAAAAAAAGTGCCTCATTGATTTCATAAAACATATTTAAACGTCTGAAGAATTAAACATTGCCTCCCAGAACATTTTGTTGAAACAAACAGAAAATACAGGAAACATGGCCAAATGAAATAAACATTGCAAATGGCGTTGATCAATGTCCCCTTCTATTTTTGACAATAGGAAGCCATTTTAACGTTGGAGGTTAACTTTAGATTGACAGCTATCTCGTAAAAAAAAAACAAAAAAAAAACAAACAACAAAAAAACCTTTATTTATTTTTATTCACGTCGCTATCTCTAAAACCGGTTATCATCTCTCAAAGGCAACTCTAATCATTCACTAGTTCGGCATCTCAGCAAGACAATAAAAATTAAAATCTAAATTGTTGACCCATTTAAAAATACTACCTTTCTTTAAAAATATATATTCAATTTAAATAATGAAGAACTAATAAAAAATAATTTGAATGCCTCTTACCTTTCGACTAACACTTTTGCTGCCACCCAGGGGTTAGCCTTTGCGACACAGGTTCTCATTTAAATATCTTTCAAATTGTCTCTTTATGCATGTTTGTCTGTACACATGCATGTTTTGATTCAATGGCAGACTTTAAAATATTTCAAAAAAACATTAAAAAAAACGCTTTAAAGTAAAACTTTATTTATTACCGATTAATTTCAGGAAGGGAGTATATCGATTCAAGTACCCTATAGGGTATTCCCAAAAGAACCCTTCTTTTAATCTACAGGGGTAAACTTTTCGATTGCTTACGTCTAGAGCTATTTCACCTGGTAACAACGTTTACGTCATTCTGCCCTCCTGCCTTTATCAGGTCTATATTGATCCGGGTATTCTACAGGGAATTCTGAACCCTTTATTTAATATACGAAGACAAACTGTTCCCGTTCCACTGTCCATGTCTAGGGATACTTCGCCAGGTTCTTATATTTTTTTCTAAGGAAATTTCGCCTATTTCTTATTTTTACTACTGCTCAGTTATTGTCCGCCCTGTTTTAACTGTCCAGGTACATACTGCCTGGCCCAAGGATTGAACTCGCAATTACTAAGTCACCAAATTCAGGAAGAAACGCTTTAATTCACTAGACCGAGCTGTGTGCCCTTGATGAACAGGGTAGGGAATAACTACGCAGTACTAAAAATAAGAACCTGGCGAGATATCCCGAGATAATCAATGGAACGGGAACAGTCTAACTCCGTATATTAAATAAAGGCTTACAGTATTCCCTGTGGGTTACACAGATCAATATGCACCTGATAAAAACAGGAGCTTACAACAGACGAAACGTTGGGATAACAACAAACAAGATGAGGACAATAGTTAGACTTTAGACATCATTTTTTTTTCTTTCGTCCTAATTACGCTACTTTTCCCTAAATTTATTTTCTGTGGCCATTATCTTTTTTTAGAGTTTAACTTAAATTCACTTTAAGGTAATAAAGTAAGTAATAAACTAGACATATACTGTCTTGTCACTTTTATGCTGTCAAGTTCTAGGTACCAATAAACACAGGCTGCGACGGATAAATTGTCGTCAAAATGACGCAAAAATAAAAATAACACTGATATCTCATTTTAACAGATATATTTACCAAAATGACACAAAAATATCTTGAAATACTAAATAAGCTTCAACCACGGTCTCCAGGTGACTTCGGAATCTCCTGCAACTCTGATCTACGGTCCCCTTGTTTAAGTTGGTTATGCTTCCATGACCCTTTTAGTTCATCTTTGATATTACAAGTTTTGTTAGTCTCTTGGTCAACTGCGCACCCCCACATCAAGGGAGTTGCAGTCTGGAGAGTTAGGTGTCCAGATGTAAGGTGTGATATAGTCTCAGAAATTGTTTGGCAGCCATAACTGGGTTCTCCTGCTTGTGTGGCATGGTGCATAGTCTTGTTGTCAGACATAGGGTCTTCCAGCAGCCACCCTCTTGACTCAGGGCAGCACTCCTGAAAGTGCTTCATGTAGACCTCCTCACCAGCAAATTCTTATCAGAACGATCAAAGTGATTTTTCCGAGCTGCCGTGCCTTCGTAATCACCATTAGACTCATCCAACTCTGTGTAGATCCTCTGGACTGTCCTCAGATTGACACCCAAACATTCTGAAATGTTCGTATTGGAACTTCCGCTGCGAATGCCAAGCAGTACAGCAGGACGTTTCCAAATTTCTGGCGAGGTGATTTGCGTCATGATGCTCTTTTTCTTGCAGACGGTGCTAACAGACTCTACGATAATGTGCAGCCCACAAAATGAAAAAAAAAAACAAAACAAAACAAAACGCTTTCACGAAATTAAAAATATAAAATGGCGACAATTTAGCCATCGCACTCTGTAGATGTGAATATCTGATATAAACGCGAGAACTTTTCAAAAGGTATCGGGACTGGTGCTCTAAAACTAAGACACATATAAATTCGGCATTTTATCTCCTTCATACTAATCCCCTTCTGAGGCCAAACACTTTGCGCAGCGTCGTTTCAGTTGAAGGAAGCATTCCTGAAATTCCGGCCTCGTCGCAATCTTTTAGATGCCCTCAACATCTTGATATCTTGTTCTTTTCCAGTTAGGAATTGATTTTTGTAGAAGAGAAAACGAATGAATCTGAGGAATATGGTGAGTGTAGGACCTGAAGACTGCTGCCAAAGCCATGATCACTGATGGAAACTTTATGGTACGGTGAGACGACCACACTCTACACATTTTCCTTCCAAGCACTGATTTAAACAACGAAAGCGAGCGAGAGCGTTATAACTCACCAGCCAATATCTTCGATACCATACCAACAGTCCTGATACATTTTGACCAAATATATGATAGGCATGAATTGATCGATATATATATATATATATATATATATATATATATATTATTATTATTATTATTATTATTATTATTAAGATACGAAAGCTTCCTCACTGTAGGCAAGACACAAGGACTTACTGGAAGTGAAAGAGAATGAGAAGACTTTAGTGAGGAGAAAGGAAAATAAAAGAACAGGTTTCAGGTAGACAGAAGATGAAGATGGCGATAATCCCACTAAGACACAAGGACTTACTGGAAGTGAAAGAGAATGAGAAGACTTTAGTGAGGAGAAAGGACAATAAAAGAACAGGTTTCAGGAAGACAGAAGATGGCGATAATCCCACTAAGACACAAGGACTTACTGGAAGTGAAAGAGAATGAGAAGACTTTAGTGAGGAGAAAGGATAATAAAAGAACAGGTTTCAGGAAGACAGAAGATGGCGATAATCCCACTAAGACACAAGGACTTACTGGAAGTGAAAGAGAATGAGAAGACTTTAGTGAGGAGAAAGGATAATAAAAGAACAGGTTTCAGGAAGACAGAAGATTATTATATTTATTTATTTTACAACTATGCATACATACCAGAAACTCGTTAATAAACATGAAGCTTTTGATCAATTGTTCTTCTCCTTTCCCCTTGTCTCCAACTTTATGATTTCATTGTCTAGCTCAGGGTAGAGATTAGCAAGAATGAGTGGGAGGGGTATGTATTTTATCAATCCTTTATATTAACCTCAGTAAAATTGTGCATGGAAACTAACAGATAGATATGATATGTAGGATAGAGAATTAATTGATCGTATCGTTTTCTACGGCTTATCATCTCTATGCAGGTTATTTTAACCCTGAAAATATTTTTAGATTGGAAGATTTTCTTTTGGGGAAGATAATGGTTTAATGATACAAGTCTTACTAATTAACCCATAGCTGGAGGGAGAAGAAGTGGGTTCATACCTAATCAGAATATGATATACAAGAAATTATAATATGGTATAAAGTGAGGGATCATTTCTATATTACAATCAATATATAAACTGATCCCTCACTTTGTGATCATAGTAATTTCTATACATTTAGATGACAGTGAATGAAAATAATTCTAAAAGACATGCCAGTGTCGCTAATCAGTATTTTATTGATTGATTCGCTTTTTATGGATTATCAAACATTATTGAAAGCTAGAAAATAATTTATGATTATAAGAATTTTTTTGAGACAATTATTCTTAATAATACAAGTTCTACTAATTAACCCATAGGTAAGGGGAGAAAACACAAGTTCTTTCCGTGTCGGTGAATATAACGAACCGACGTAAATTGGAACTCAGATCTACGATTAACAATTCCGAGGCATTATCCCTTACACTACCATCCCTTACACTACCCGCAAATCCAAGCCTACAGCATCCGGTATTCCCAAACAGTCACCCATCTAGGTACTAACCAAGCTCGACGTTGCTTAACTTCGGTGAACATACGAGAACCGCTGATGCGAGCCAGATTAGTCAAGTTCTTTAAGATTTGTTCAGATTGCAAAATGATAGGAGCGAATTGTCTTAAAGCAGATTCATTGTTAAACGTTAAATCCTCTTAATACTAAGGAAGGCGTGTTGAATATTAATGGCAATGGGTACTGGACAACCTCCTCAGAGATGAAAAAAAGACAACAGAAATATGGTTCTACAGAAGGATGCTGTGGATATCATCGAGTAAACATGTGACAAACGACGAAGTGTTAAGGAAAATGGAAACGAAAAGAACTCATATTTAGAATCAGAAAGATACTGTTGAAATTTCTCGGATATATGAGGAAAGAGGGCTTAGAAAATTTGACACACACAGGACATATCGGAGGCAAGATGGAGAGAAAGAAACAGGGAGTAACCTACGTAACTAGCTTGTGTAAATGGATGTTTGAACATAGAGCAGGTGGAAAATCGTAAACGTTATTTTGAGCTACAGAGTGTATGAAGTTGTTGAGGGTCAAGTTCTGATGGGAGACGATAAACAGTGTCCCTCCCATTCAAATGTCGAGGGAGCTGAGCAACTTTTGTCCCTAGTCACATATATGGGTGGAGTTCATTCTTTAAATCTGCCCATATGCCATCTTCCGTTCGGAATAATTGCCAAACTTTATTTATTTGCTCTTACGGTTTTATGTAATCTTTGCACACAGGAGGACAGCCAACCAGCTTTATATATTTAATTTTCAGGAAAATCGCCCGCACATACATATACAGAATTAATACCATTCGTTTCGAAATCAGATAGAGGAAGTGAAATTACCATTTCGTATGTGAAGGATTCTTCTATAATTAGGTGAAAGCCTGCAGACAATAAAATAGTTGAATGTGAGAATACAGCTAGAATTTTCAAGGTTATTTATTACGGGCACAACGTTTTCATTCATGAGAAAATGTAAATTTTAATTATATGTGAATCATTCTTTAACGATATATTATATAAATTGTTGTTTATATTTCAGACCCTTTGAACTTAAAATGGTGCCTCTGGAACTAACGTTAGATATAATATTTCTTTAATGAAAACAGTTTTTAAAATAAAGTTTTTCATGATCACAGAGAGAAGGCAACAATTCTAGGTACTGATTGAAAGCTACAAATATATAGCTTCTATATCCGATAATATATATTTAATAAATAATCTAATATATTATTATAATAGTTATACAAAAATATATTAAGCGTTTCTAATGATTAAAGTGACCATTTTGTTAATTTTGTATGAATCTCTTTCAGAATTTAACCCATCAGCATGAATATGATAAAAGAGATGCGTTTACTTTTTTAGCACTAGTTCAATCGTGGTCATAGTGCTTGTGAAACTTTTGCCAAAAATTAACAGAGCACGGGGCTGAAGTAAGCACTTTTGGTCGGGCAGTGCGGTGTTGGATTCTTAAGTTCACCAGTTAGAATAAGGATCTTCAAGATAAACATAGATAAAATCCATCTGCGATTAAAAATCAACATTTGTCAAAAAAACCCAAAAAAAAACAAAAACGTAAGTCGAACAAAATCAACTTCAAAAAGAAATGTTGCAGAAAATGGTCGCTAGTATTTCAACTAATTCGAACCATCTAAAAGACAATTGTGGAGAAACTGTGTCAATGGATTCTACATTAACTCAGAGAAAGTTAAAGAGTTTAACGTTTTGAAGTGTTTTTCGATGCAGAATCTGCGAAAAACGAATGACCCATTCCTTGATTGAATACTGACTACTTGCATTATTTACATTATTCGGACTATTATCCTCATTTTCATTACCAAATTCACAACGTTTCGGCCGTTGTACGCTCCGGTCTATGTCTCTCAAGCGAATTAGTTGACCGTTCAAGCTTACTTGAGCCTCGGCGTTGCCTTTCATTCGTTTTGAAAGATGTCCACATATTTTTCCGGATATTCTTTTAGGAAAAAAATGTGTCTTGCAAGCCGGAACAGACAGTAGTTCAAAAATAATTTTAATAATGTTTTCATTTCTATTACAAATGACATTAATTAAAATGCTAAAAAGAAACTCTTATTTTTATCTCAATGTTTTCAATGCGATGGTTGACTTTAATGCTTACAAGCTAAGCATATTACTCCAGGTTCCATGTTGCTTAGAAGAAGCCGGAGATCTTCTCGTTTTATTATTTTCAGGCGCTTTCTTTGTTTAGTAAAAAGCTATGTAACTGCCTTGAAACCACATTCAGCCATATTGGAAGTTGGAAAAGCAACGAAAAAAAGTTTGACAACTTCCCACATCTTTAGATACCTTTCAAAAATGTCCTTTTGCAGCCAATATTAAATAATGTCTGAAAATGTGAAAGTTTTATCATAAACGCAAAAACAAACCTTCTAGCTCCGTGACGACAAAGTATAGATGTTCAGTGTTCCTTCAGTATCTGTCTATATTTCTGAGATGAGGTATTATGTACACTATTTACACATCAAGAAGGCCGGAGTGTACAACGTCCGAAACGTTGTAATAAATATGGCAACAAAGATGAAGACAACAATCCGAATAATGTAAATAGTGTACAGAAATATAAACAGATACTGAAGGGCCGAAACGTTGTGATAAATATGGCGAGGAAAATAAAGACAATAGTCCGAATAATGTAAATAGTATACATAATACCTCATCTCAGAAATATAGACAAATACTGAAGGGCCGAAACGTTGTGATAAATATGGCGACGAAGATGACGACAATAGTCCGAATAATGTAAATTGTGTTCATAGTTCCTATTTTGATTGATCTAAATACTATTTATGTCTAATGATTCAGAAATTAATGTTGATTCTTGTCTTGTAAGGCAGGATGTGTGTGTTTGTGTGTGTTTGTAACGAATGCACGGCCGCAATTTTCGATGGATTTACACCAAAATTTACATGCAGATTCTCCAAGTTAGCGGGACGGCCAAGGCCGACCTTGCATTTACCAACTCCCATAGAAATAATCGATTTGTTCATGCTTCTACGGCAGTTTTCGTGTAGTTTACGGCCATTTTGTACTGGCCAGACAGATCCACTAGCTGGCTGCCACGAATAGGCAGGAAGATTGTATTGGTCAGCTATTTGCTAGCATGCAATTAAAAATCCATAGCTGCATTCGTCACAAGTGGGAAAAATTAAAATCTGCATGGCACTTTACTCCAATTGGCTCATTCGCTTGCTTAAACTCAACGTTGATTCCACAGAACTCGGTTAGGTGTGAAAAAGTATTTGTTGTTAACATTCTTTTTTCATTCGGTTTTTCGAGTTACGAGTCCTTTTTTTTAAAACTGATCGTTTTGGGTTCATTTTGTTTAGTTCTTATTTCGTAACAGATTTAATGTTTAGTATAGAGCTTAGAAAAAATTCGCAGTGTGAGATAGGCGAGAAGTAAAGTATGTAGCAACATCAGCACGGCCAAGGGCACTCTTTTAAAGGCAAGGAAGGGCAAAAATATTTTAAGTCAAGTGATAACAATTGCTGTATGAGTCGTACGGTTTTTGAATCAAGCACGGGTAACGCCGGGACATGCTGCTCGTAACCTAATATATCTGAATGAAAATGTATTCACATTTCTTCTGGAATACTCTCATACGATATTGTAAAAGATAGCGAAGGGACGAATCTAAAATCCATTGGACAACACGCTCCATATCTTCTCTCAAATGTTATTTATTTGTTAAATGTTCATACCTATAGTAACTAGTGACTTAGGTAGAAGATATTCTGTCCAAAAAATGATATATCTAGAATCTCTGATATTTTTAATATTTCTTGAATTATTTTCTAAAATAAATCATTTCATGACGTCAAACGAGAAGTTACAATCTCCGATCACAACTGTTAAGTGTTCTGCCAGGAAAGATGGTTGACTATGACAAGCTAAATAGTTTTTTTTTTCTCTCGCCAAAAACTATCATGCAGATTTATAAATCTAGGATTCTACTTTGTATCGAATATTGCTGCCACTTCTGTCCTGAGTCTAATTATTTAAAGAATTTATAGATATATAGAAATATATCTAGAAATTCTTTACATAATTCAACGAAGAATCGGCAACATATTCAGTCCTGACTGCGACAATCAAGAACCTTCCGTCGTAACTGGGTATATATATATATATATATATATATATATATATATATATATATATATATATATATATATATAATATGTATAATGAAAAAAACCACGTAAAACTTTCTTAATATGTATATATATAAAATATATATGTAATTAAAAATAATAATATTTTATTTTAAATTGAAAGTATTTCTATATATATTGATATATATATATATATATATATATATATATATATATATATATATATATATATATATATTTATATAAATATAAACATAAATTGTCCTCAAATAAGCATGGAATAAACAACATTGAGGACAAAAATGAAATATCAAATAATATATATATTTAAGTTAGTTTGGTATAAAGACTTTCCTAAAATAAAACATTATTATTTTTTCAATTTGCAACTTTATATATATATATATATGAAAATTTATATGTCGGTAAGTCCATATATAAATTAGGTAAATATACATATATATATATATATATATATATATATATATATATATATATATATTTGGTTGGATTGATGTGAGTTTGTGACCCAGGTTTCACGCTTTTGCAATCGTCAGACAAACGATCGCAAAATCGTGATACCCAGGGTCACAAACTCACATCAATCCAACCATATATATATATATATATATATATATATATATATATATATATGAGGCGAATGAAGAAAACAGTAACCAGCGAGTAAATTCAAGCTCTCCCAACTGGTATTTCAAACTTGAGTCGTTCCTTCCTGAGTTCTGTCTCCAAATCACACTAACTGCCCGTTCTAGCCGTCAACCGTGAACGTCCCTCGAAGAACTCGCCGACTTGGAAAAAAGTAGTTGTTTTTATAGTTGTTCATGTACCCATAATCCCTTGCGTCTTCCTGTGATCCCATAATTCATTGC